CATAAGAGGAAACAAGGTGTGAGGAAACAGAGAAGGACACAGGTGGGCCAAGAGAAATGAGATCAAGGAGAGATGAATGGCGATTCATGGTGGCTCAGTCAGTTAAATGTCTGCCTTTGGCTCAGGTCATGATCCCAGGGTCCTGGGATTGAGCCTTACATTGGGCTCCCTGCTCAGCCTAGATTTTCGCTTCTCCCTCTCCCTCTGCCACTCCCCCTGCTTGTGCTCACTTGCTCTTTCCCTCTGTCAAATAAATAAATAAAATATTTTTAAGGAAAGATGAGAGGAAATAGTAGACACTGAGGACCTAGGCAGAATCACCTGGCCCATGACACTCCTTCAGCTCAGAATCACCTAGGGAAACACCAAGAGTTAAGGCCTCCCAGGTCCCAAGGGAGTGAAGTCACAATAGCAGCTAGAGAATAACTGTGGGCACCAGAGAGGTTGAGACTTCCAAGAGGTGAGGAAGAGCAGAGCTCACACCCATCAGCCCCTACCTTGGCTGGGTGGCCTTTTCCATCTCCCCCAGGTAAGTGCCCCACACAATCTTGGCCGGCTTGGCCCTTCCCTGACAAGGCTAAACCTTGGTAAGGGTAGAAAGGGAAAAGGAATAGAAGGCCTTAGAAACTCTCTCTGTGGCCTGGGAGCCAATACCTATCCCTGGTCACAAGAGAAAAGAATTCAGCTGAAGTTTCCCAAAACTTTACCATTGCATTTACAGATATGTGATCCAGGTGCTACCAGGCTGGCTGGGGAGAAGGGACAAGAAGGAGCTGGGTGCCTGGACAATTTCTCCCAGATGAAGCCATATGTAATACAGCAAGGCAAGTGTACATACTCAGACCAAGGAAACCTTTGAATGCATGATGAGGTGTGTATGCTGAAGAGGTGGATGTGAGGCAGTGGGCAGCCAGCTTGTGCAGGGCAAGTGTAAGTACATCAAGAGGGCAGTCATAGTCTCCCTACTGCCTGTGGTCAATGCCTGATGAAAACTTAGGACATTCTTAGGTTCCTATTCGTGGTCCCTATCTCAGAACCCATAGATGGAGCTGCTCACATTCTCCTTTGCTGCCCCATATCCTCCCCAATACACACACACACACACACACACACACACGTGCAGTGTCCATTATTAATTTTTCAGGCAAAAAAGTCTGAGAGAACAAAGCTAAGTTGTCTGGCTGTGCTCCTCAAGACCTCCCTGACTTAATAAAGGTGGTTCTCCCTCTATTTCCCACATCCTGCAATGGCCTCCAGAATCCCAGCTTACTTGCCCCCAAGATGGCAGATCTATCCCTAAAGAGCTGCTATTAATTCGTGTCCCATTTTGAGAGCCTCACCTCCTGTACTCAGGGCTCTCTAGGCTGACCTGTCATGCAGTCATCCAGCCACACCTCTGTCCCTTCGTTCTTCTGTCCATCTAACCAGTTATCCACAATCTATCTGTTACTCAATCCACATGCCACTTACCTGATTGATTTATACACCTGCCTATGTCACTAAGACTTACTGAAGGGGTTGGAGGTGAGAGGTTAGGTTTTCAAAAGAGTCATAGGGAGGCTGGAAATGGGAAGTTGTTTGATGGGTATAGAGTTTTAGTTTCGCAAGATGAAAAAGTTCTGGAGATTCGCTGTACCACAATGTGAATATACTTAACACTACTAAGCCACACAGGAGAAAGTGGTTAGGATGGTAAATTGTATGTTATGTGTTTTTACCACAATTAAAAAATAATTTTTAAGAAAAGAGAGAGCCTCAGCCCCTCTCTGTGACCAAAAAAGGTTCTCTGTCCTCTCTGTTCCTCTGTAGGAGATCTTGGAAGATAGGAGTGGCCTCAGAGCCAGTGTCTCTCTGAAGATTGTCCCAACTGTGTCAGGATGTACAGGAGATAAGTTGCTGGAATATGAGAAGTGTTCATTAAATGGTAGTGGAAAAATTCAATGGACTACTAAAGAACTTTGAATGAAAAAAAAATAACTTTGAATGAGATCACTCAAAATCCTATGTGATCTCACAGCAAAATGCTTCAGGCAAACATTAAAAAGGAAAGGAAAAAGGGGCACCTGGCTGGCTCAGTCAAAAGAGCATGCAGCTCTTTTTTTTAAAGATTTTATTTATTTATTTATTTATTTATTTATTTATTTATTTATTTATTTATGAGAGACACACACACAGAGAGAGAGGCAGAGACACAGGCAGAGGGAGAAGCAGGCTCCATGCAAGGAGCCCGATGCGGGACTCTATCCTGGGACTCCAGGATCACACCCTGGGCCGAAGGCAGGTGCCAAACCGCTGAGCCACCCGGGGATTCCCCCGCAACTCTTAATCTTGGGGTCATGAGTTCGAGCCCTACCCTGGGTATGGAGATTACTCAAATAAATAAAATATTTTTTTAAAAAAAAAGGAAAGGAAAAAGACAAACTGCATATACACTATGATTACAAACATGTAAAATGGGTTTGTGGTGGGACAAAGACTTAAGGGTAATATATAATATAGAAAAGAACTCAAGTGGGAAAATCATGGATAACTTTACACCAAATATGTTAATTGCAAAAATAACATTTTTTAAATTTGAAAATAACAAGATCTATCCTGTAGGTTATCAGTGGTGCAAGCACCTAAAGGGCTATGAATAGGAAAGAAGACCAAGGGACTCAGATACTCCTTCTGTCCAAACCATTAGATGGAGTTTATCTCCCAGGAGTACAGAGTAAGGCCATTGGCCTCCCTGGAGATACAATAGGCATGATGGTTTAAACCTCAGGCTCCAAGTTACTATTCTGGTTCTGCCACTCAGTAATCATGTAATCCTAGATTGGTAACTTAAACTCTCAGAGCTCCAGTTTCTTCTCTGCAATGATGAAGTAACAAATTACAACTAGCACAAGAGCTGTTATGAAGGCACCGAAGATCATGCATGATGCCCAGCACATGGTAATCTCTAAGTGTAAGCTACAGGAAAAAAAAACATTAAGCAGACAAAGTGGGGGTGGGAGGAAGGTTAGGTCTATGAGCAATAGGAAGAAAGTGTAAGACTCTCCTCCCTAACAATGAAGATGGCCAGGCTAATCTCGTGTGTGGAATGAGTGTGGGTGATAAAAGCCCTGCAAATGCTGGGAACCCAGACTTCTACAAGACTCAGGCTCAGTGTCCTGTCTGTCTTACTGGCTGCCTAACTTTAAGTGGGTCACTTTTTTAAGATTTTATTTATTCATTTGTGAGAGACAGAGACAGAGGCAGAGACACTGAGGCAGTGGGAGGGAGGCAGAGGGAGAAGCAGGCTCTATGCAGGGAGCCCGATATGGGATCCATCCTGGGATTCCAGGACCATGCCCCAGGCCAAAGGCAGGTGCCAAACCACTGAGCCACCCAGCGACACCCTAGGTGGATCACTTTATCTTTCTGTCCACCAGTTCCCCTATCTTTATAAGTGAGATTCATTCATTCATCTAATCAATATTCAGCCGAGTGCTCAGCAGGTGCCAGATCTCATGCTAGTTGGCCAGGTGATTAAATTTGCCTCCAAGATGGTTGAGAACTGACAGACTCAGTTCTCAGAGCACAGACTCTGGTGTTAGGTGGGTCTGGATTTAAGCCTGAACACCCTCAGTTGCTAGATGTGTGGCTTCAAGAAAGTTACTAATGCTGTCTGGGCTTCCATTTGCTCTTCTGTAAAATGGAGAAAGTAAAGGTTTCTGTGTCACAGTGTGATTGTGAAGATCCAATGATGTTTGGAATGCTAAGCCCTTTGGCATGGTGCCTGGAAGGGACTGGGCACCCGGAAAGCACCAGTAGTTGTTAAAATAGACAGGCCACTACCACCACCCCAACTGTACTGCAGGATCTTACAATGGAGACTCCACTAAAAAGTGCTGGGACACAGTACAACTAATGACCCATGAGAACACAGATAAACGTGCTTTCCTCGAGCATGTGGAGAGCTGTCTGGTACAAGAGGAGTGAGACATTCTGTAAAACACTAAGAATTTAGCCAAGACAAATATAATGAAAGACCCATCCTATAAGCAGAGACAGCCAAAGCTAGATAGGGCTACCTCCTAGGTGCTGAACTCCCTGTCACTACAGATGTGCCAGCAGACACTGCCCAGCACCCCTCTAAGATGTTGTTGATAAGCCTTGAGCCATGCTGAAATATATGACCCTTACAGACACATATCCTGACATGCCATGGGCAATCATTTATGACCATGAGGAACATAGGAGCTTCCACAGGGGAGGTGGAATTTGAGTTGAGCTTGAGGGATGAGTGGGATTTTAATAGAATGCATAGAAACATTCTCTGCAGGGGCACACACTGTGGAAATGTACGGGAGAACAGAGCATGCTAAAACAGGGTAGCTGGTATAGCTCAACACAGGGACCCAGATAAGAGGGAGCAAAATACAGTGTGGCCAGCCCCGGGCCCACTCCCTTCATGGGGCACAGGTTGGGAATCTGTAATCTGTGGAAAATGGCTTGATATAATCCAAAGCATGAGACAATTGGGCAGTATTCCCACAATCCCATCATTGCATGGCATTCTAAATGCACGGCCCACCATGGAGATTATCAGATGCCAGCCTAGGACAGTCCCTGGCTGAGTCCATGATGCAGGTGCTACATTGTCTCTCAGGCCAGAGTTTCAGCACAGGAAATATAATGGAGCTTAGGACATAACTCCACTCCATCTCCACTCTGAAGAAAGACCCAAAGTATAGAGATGGGGTCTCTTCCTGTGGGAACTAGGCCGTACAGCAGGATTCAGAGTGTAAGGAATAGTGGGGAATGCAGCAAATTTGGAGTCAAGAAACCTAGACTCAAGCCCTAGGCTTGCACATTATTTAACCTCCAAGACAAATGGCCTCATCCATAAAGTGGAGATGCTGTCTCAGTTGATTCTGGGGAGACTGAGTGAAAAATACTAAATTACAGAAGTGCTGCTCTTTTCTGTTTACATGTCTCCTCCTTGGTTGTGCCGTAGGTTCCAGCCTGAATTGATGGCTGAGGAAAATCAGACTCTGCCTGAATTTCTCCTTCTAGGATTTTCTGACTTCAGGGCCCTGCAGGGCCCTCTGTTCTGGATGGTACTTCTGGTTTACCTGGTCACCTTGCTGGGTAACTGTACCATCATCCTCCTCACACAGGCGAGCCCATCCCTGCATTCCCCCATGTACTTCCTCCTGCGCCACCTCTCCGTGGTGGAGCTCCTGTACACCACGGACATTGTGCCCAGGACCCTGGTTGACCTGGCCTCCCCATATCCCCGGGCCATCTCCTTCCAGAGCTGTGTGGCCCAGATGTACGTCTTCGTGGTCCTGGGCATCTCAGAGTGCTGCCTCCTCACAGCCATGGCCTATGACCGCTATGCGGCCATCTGCCGGCCCCTGCACTATGCCACCCTCATGAGCTGGAGGGCCTGCACGGCCATGGTGGGTGTCTCCTGGCTCATGGGCATTGTCACAGCCACCACACATTCCTCTCTCATCTTCACTCTGCCCTTCCCCAGCCACCCCATCATCCCTCACTTCCTCTGTGACATCCTGCCAGTACTGAGGCTGGCAAGTGCTGGGAAACACAAGAGTGAAATCTCCGTGATGACAGCCACCGTGGTCTTCATCATGGTCCCCTTCTCTCTGATCATTGCCTCTTATGCCCGCATTCTGGGTGCCATCCTGGCAATGGCCTCCACCCAGAGCCGTCGCAAGGTCTTCTCTACTTGCTCCTCCCACCTGCTTGTGGTCTTCCTCTTCTTTGGAACAGCCAGCATCACCTACATCCAGCCCCGGGCGGGCTCCTCTGTCACCATGAACCGCATCCTCAGCCTCTTCTACACAGTCATCACACCCATGCTCAACCCGATCATCTACACCCTTCGCAACAAGGAGGTGGCAAGGGCCTTGCAGCGCATGGTGAAGAGGCAGGTCTCCTCACCATGAAGGCACTCGGGAGATATCTGTTCGCTTGCTGACTACTCCTCCTCCCAGCCTTCAGGTGCCAGATGAACAGAAACCATGTAGCACCTCAAAGAAATAAGGCTTCCTGGCAGAAAGTGTTGGAATTAAAGCAAAGATAAATCTGTATCCTACCTCCTATCCCACACCAGACTCACTATCAGAGCACAGTTATGAGGACAAGGTAGACTGAAGGGAATGCTGCTCACAAAGAACATTTATAGGAAAGAGCATCTTCTAGATTGTTCTGGATCCCTGAGCAAGGTGATTGCTGTGTATACACCAGTAGTGAGAAGTCTGTGTCAGTCATGAAGGCAAATGTCCATGAAACTGACACCAACTAAGTGACCTACCAGAGCCCATGAAGGAGTTTGCTGGCTCTTCGGTCTAGTTTTCTCCCAGAAACACACTACAGTCTCTTGTGCTCTGGGCCTTTTAGAAACCAGTTATTCTTCCTTGAAATATTCCACATAAAGATTTAAACATTCTTCCATGCCCCCCACCTTTGACTTCTGACATCATCCATAAAGGGTGATACAATGTCCAACTGGACAAGAATATCTCCCTGGATTTCCTGTTCCCCTTCCAGTGCACCACCAGCTTGATCTCATACCTCCTTCACCATCTAATACTGACTGAAGCCCCTGAGGCCATCTTGGAGAGGACCTAGAGAGTAAACATTTAACACTCATTTTTGCCACCTCACCTCTGACCCTCTTTCAATGTTGGGAGAAGTCTCATATTGAGGAGGCTGGTGGGCAGGGAAACCACTTCCCTCTGTGCAGCTGAGAACTCTTCCCAGCCCTCCAAGCATGTGACCTAGTTCCACCAATAAATGCACTCATGCCTGACTAAGTAGCTGGTGCCCACAAGAGGAAGGAGCAGGGGACAGCAAAGAAGACTGCAACAGCAAGTTTCTGGCATATAAGTGGCATCTAGTCCCTGGTGGCAGCCCCAGTGTTTTCCTCAGCTGACCAGGTCATGTTTGGAAATTACTCTGAGAAGCTTAGCCTCTGGCATGGTCCTCATCCCTCTATATTTTGTTAATCAATTATTCTTCTGTTTCTTCATCCAGGCAGCTTCTGTCATTGCCAAGAATTTTGACTGATGCAATTGCTTTGGAGGCTGGTGGCATCAGAGGAAAAACCTTAACCCTGGTGTACTAGGAATAAAATTGTCTCATTTGGAAAAACCAGATAAAAAAGAAAAAAATAAAAGCCCACCTAAAGGGAACTTGGGGTCAGAGAACATCCTCAGACAAGCAGTCAGAATCAAGGAGTCCACAGCTATATGGCACTCCTGATCTTCAGAAAATACCTTGCTCTCGTGGGGCTCCTAACCTCCTAGTCATGAGGAGAATGGAGTGGAAAGAAAACAAATCAGCAGAAACATATAATGAAAGTAATCATAAAGATGTATAAACATGTTACTGGAAGGTAAATAACAGTTTGAGGGTGTTTCTGAACATCTTCCTGGAAGAAGTGGCTCAGTGCAGTACTTCCAACCTTCCTCACATCATGACACACATAGAAAGTGCTAATATTTGAGTGGCACACCAGAGTAAACTGAAGGGAATTGGGGACATCAAGATGGGGCTTGATGGAAAAAAATTCACTGTACTCTCTTTTCACTATATAATTACAAAGAAAATAAAATATATGGTAATATGGAAGTTTTTAAATACTAGCTTTCCATAAAACTTCCAAATAATTCTCTTTCTCTCAAATAAATAAAAAAAATATTTTTCAAAAACAAAAACAAATAAAATATTCATATTTTTATAAGAAACTTAAGCTTGTTTCTGTAAACATGATTTTTATATTAGATTTTGGGCTTTAAAATGGCTAAATGCCTCCTGGTCAAGATCTTTAAGTACTTATTTCTTAAAAATCACTGATAAGGGATGCCTGGGTGGCTCAGTGGTTGAGGGTCTGTTTTCGGCTCAAGGTGTGGGTGTGACCCTGGTCCAAGAATCGACTCCCACATTGGGTTCCCTGAATGGAGCCTGCTTCTCCCTCTGCCTGTGTCTCTGCCTGTGTGTGTGTGTGTCTCTCTCTCATGAATAAATAAATAAAAACTTTTTTAAAAAAGACATGAATAGAAATCTCACAGAGGAAGACATAGACATGGCCAACATGCACATGAGAAAATGCTCCGCTTCACTTGCCATCCGGGAAATACAAATCAAAAACACAATGAAAACTGTGTGGAGGTTCCTCAAAGAGTTAAAAATAGACCTGCCCTACGACCCAGCAATTGCACTGTTAGGGATTTACCCCAAAGATTCAGGCAATGAAACGCCGGGACACCTGCACCCCGATGTTTCTAGCAGCCATGTCCACAATAGCCAAACTGTGGAAGGAGCCTCGGTGCCCATCGAAAGATGAATGGATAAAGAAGATGTGGTTTATGTATACAATGGAATATTACTCAGCCATTAGAAATGACAAATACCCACCATTTGCTTGGACGTGGATGGAACTGGAGGGTATTATGCTGAGTGAAGTAAGTCAATTGGAGAAGGACAAACAGTGTATGTTCTCATTCATTTGGGGAATATGAATAATAGTGAAAGGGAATATAAGGGAAGGGAGAAGAAATGTGTGGGAAATATCGGAAAGGGACACAGAACATAAAGACTCCTAACTCTGGAAACGAACTAGGGGTGGTGGAAGGGGAGGAGGGCGGGGGGTGGGGGTGAATAGGTGACGGGCACGGAGGGGGACACTTGACGGGATGAGCACTGGGTGTTATTCTGTATGTTGGTAAATTGAACACCAATAAAAATTAATTTATTAAAAAACAACAACAACAAAACCACAATGAGATCCCACCTCACACCAGTGAGAATGGGGAAAATTAACAAGGAGGAAACCACAAATGTTGGAGAGGATGTGGAGAAAGGGGAACCCTCCTGCACTGTTGGTGGGAATGTGAACTGGTGCAGCCACTCTGGAGGACTGTGTGGAGGTTCCTCAGGGAGTTGAAGATGGATCTGCCCTACGACCCAGCAATTGCACTGTTGGGGATTTACCCCAAAGATACAGATGCAATGAAACGCCGGGACACCTGCACCCCGATGTTTCTAGCAGCAATATCCACAATAGTCACACTGTGGAAGGAGCCTCGGTGTCCATCGAAAGATGAATGGAGGGAAGCCCCAGTGGCGCAGCGGTTTAGCGCCGCCTGCAGCCCAGGGCGTGATCCAGGAGACCCTGGATCGAGTCCCACGTCGGGCTCTGTGCATGGAGCCTGCTTCTCCCTTTGCCTGTGTCTCTGCCTCTCTCTCTGTCTCTATGAATAAATAAATAAAATCTTTAAAAAAAGATGAATGGATAAAGAAGATGTGGTTTATGTATACAATGGAATATTACTCAGCCATTAGAAATGACAAATACCGACCAGTTGCTTGGACTGATATTTCCGACACATTTCTGTTATTCTGTATGCTGGTAAATTGAACACCAATAAAAAAATAAATTTATTTAAAAAAAGGAAATATCAGAAAGGGAGACAGAACATAAAGACTCCGAACTCTGGGAAACGAACTCGGGGTGGTGGAAGGGGAGGAGGGCGGGGGGTGGGGGTGACTGGGTGGCGGGCACTAAAGAGGGCACTTGACGGGATGAGCACCGGGTGTTATTCTGTATGTTGGCAAATTGAACACCAATAAAAAATAAATTTATTATTTAAAAAAATCTTTTTTAAAAAATAGCTGACAGTCACCATCAATGAACACTACTCACAGAAGTGGGTGATAAAAACTGGAAAACCTTTTCAAAGTCATTCAAAATTATGCAATAATTGGAATTACATGCAAGTACATATTTACTTGTACATATTTACTAGCGCTTCCTTTTCTTTCACTGACAAATGGTAATTTTGAAAATTTTTGTAATAATGACAAAGGATTTCTTATCTAATAGTACTCTTTAATGTCAAGTATTTCAATACAGCAGCATTGGAGCTCTAATGTGCAGAATGCTCATGCACTATTAGAGCACCCACCATGAGGCCAGCTTAGATACCACAGTAGGGCCAGCAGGTAACAGACAAAAGTATTGAATATACATGAAGACAAATATTCAGGACCACTAGGGACAGCTGCCTTTCAGGAGGCCCCCTAGATTCCCCACCCTCCAAGCTAAGAGGGTGACACCTTGGGCTGCACTCTACTCTTTGAGCACATGAAAGCCCAACTCTTTATCAGCTTCATGGGCCTCTTGGCCACAGTGGGCAGCAGGACACTCAGCAGCTGGCTGCTGGAATAGACATGAAGGTAGCAGAGTACCTCCTGGGAGGCCCTCAGCCTATTGAGTCCAAGCAATTGTTATGGCTCATTTTTCTCACCAACTGCAGGAACCTCAGAGTGCGTTACCAAATCCCATTCCTTTTGGGCTTCCTCCCAAGGAGTCCCAGGCAAGGTTGTTAATAGCCAGATGAACTGACCAGGGACCTCTGTCTATTCCAAGATGCCAGACATGCAAAAACTAAGGGCTTAGAAGATCACTCTCTTGCAGAACATTTCCAATATGAGTGGTCCTCCAGTGTGCCATGATGCACCTTTAGGAAGTTCAAGTTTTTAATTCAGAAAATACCATGTCAATGGGCCCCTAGGTGGCTCAGTCAGTTGAGGTTGAGCGTCTGACTTCAGGTCAGGCCTATAACCTCGGGGTCCTAGGATCGAGCTCCACGTCAGACTTGGCAATCAGAAGGGAGTCTGCATGTCCCTCTCTCTCTCCCCCTCTCTCTACTTGTACTCTCTCTCATAAATAAATAAATAAATAAATAAATAAATAAATAAATAAATAAATATTTTTAAAAAGAAAATACCATGTCAAGCTGTGTGCCAGGAATTTGGGGCAGAGGAGAATAAAACACAACCTAATGGGGGAGGCAGGCCAATTAACAGCCATTTGCAATCTTATAATTTTACATGAGATGTATACCAAACATATCAGCAAGACAGATGGTAAAGAGCAAAG